TTTCACAATATACATTCAGTAGTATCCTTTTAGCCAAGACCCCCAGTAGATGCCTGAAACTATGTACAATACCAAACCCTATATATATACTATGTTTTCCTATGTATAAATACCTATGATAAAGTTTAATTTATAAATTAGGCAAAGTAAGAGATTAATGACAATAATAGAATATAAGAATTATAATAAAATACTGCATAAAGTTACTTAAAATTTATGAATTGTTTATTTTTAGAATTTATTTTTCCATTTAATATTTTTGACCCTGGTTGACGAACTTGAAACCACAGATAAAGGGAATTTACTCTAAGTCTTCCTTACTTGTCATTGTTTCTCCAATATTGTTTCTAATACTTTATTGTTTTTAATGTTTAGTTTTCTGTGGGAGGACTTCATAACCTCAAGGTAACCAGATATTTCTGATAAATTTCTCTTAAAAAATGATAGAGGTACTACATGCACATGGTAAAAACTTAAGGAAAACAAAACAAAATACCCCTTATCCCAGATGCTTGGAAGCAGTGTTTGGAGGATTGTTTTAGTATGCTTTTGCATTACTATGACCAAAACCTCACAAAAGCAACTTAGAAGAGGAAAAGTCATTAGGGATTCACCATTTTATAAGTCTCAGTGGGCAGATGACCAACTTCATTGTTCAGGGACCAAGATGAGGCAGCATATCATGGAAGAAGGGCCCAATGAAGAAAGGCTGCTCAGCTCCTGGTAGGGTCAGGAAGCAGAGAGCAGGGTGAAGAGGAAGAGACAGCAGGAAGAACAACCTTTCCAGGGAACATCCTCATTGACCTACCTCCTTCAACCACACCCAATCTACAGTTATCATCCAATCTGTCTATTCAAACTAGGATGAACTGATTAGGTTATAGCCCTCACAAACTAATCACTTCACAATCCTGCATTAATACAGAAGCTTTTGGAAGACACACATATTCAAACAAGAATTTTTTTTTCAGATTTTGGAATATTTGCATATACATAATGAGTTATCTTGGGGATGTGACCCAAATCTAAACACAAAACTCATTTATGTTTCATATGAATTTTATATACATAGTCTGAAGTTAATTTTATGCAATATTCTTTGTGCACTTGTGTTTTGACTGCAACTTATCCCAGGAGACAGGTGTGGAATTTTTCACTTGTGACATTATGTTGGTACCCAAAAAGTTTTAAATTTTGGATTATTTTGGATTTGGAAATTTTGGATTAGAAGTAATCAATGTGTAGTAGGAAACCATCTACCAGAATTACCAATAGAGCTATAAGTTGTATTTGCTAAGTTATTAATGAAAAAAAAATAAGTAAACAACAAGAAAAAAGTTCTACATATTTACAATGGATTATCTTGACAAATGCATACCTAGTATTTAC